CCTGGTTCTGAACTGGACTGATGTGGTCCTGTTTCCTGGTTCTGAACTGGACTGATGTGGTCCTGGCTCCTGGTTCTGAACTGGACTGATGTGGTCCCGTTTCCCGGTTCTGAATACGACTGGACTGATGTGGTCCTGGTTCCTGGTTCTGAACTGGACTGAAGTGAGATATCTGCAGATTCAGTTTGAACTGAGACAAAAGCGAGAAGCTAAAGGAGAGCAGATTGAAACGAGGAGCCGGTCTCTGGACCCAGAAACCGGTCTGATTCCCTTTGTGGCCTCCCCTCTGAGCAGGTGGTCCTCATCAACGCGGTGAAGGATGTGGCAAAGGCCCTGGGGAACCTCATCAGCGCCACCAAGGCGGCAGCCGGGAAGCCCCACGACGACCCCAGCATGCTCCAGCTCAAGAACTCTGCCAAGGTGAGGAGCCAGAGCCCCAGCCTCAGGTCCCACCCCCGTTTAGGTCCACAGAAAACTGCAGCTTCAAAGCTCTCACAATATCTATCACTGGTCTTTTAACAGGTTAATGTTCTTTTGGTGTTTCTCATTTTTCCTCTGCATTAATTTCCACATTTTTATCCAAATTAAATATTTTCAAATCCACTCCAGTGCTCCTGTATAGAGGTCAGAAATTCAAATCTTTATAATATTCAGTTTATTACTGATTATTGGAATTAAAATGTTTGTTTTGCAAATGTTACAAAACCTTAATCAGAATTTCTTCCCTCCAAAAAGTTGGATTAATCTGTTATCTTTTTACTACAGTGTATTGAATTCATGTTCATGTGGATTTAAAGACATTTAAATTAGTGAAAAAAATGAAAAAATTATAGGGGCAGGGATATAAAAAAAGGCTAATCAACCAAAACTTTGGCAACCCCCATACAGTACCTGCAGGACCCCATAGGGGCCGTGGACCCCCTGTTGAAGACCTCTGTTCTGATCTGTCTCCGTATGGTTTATCTGTGCTGCTTTAGGTGATGGTGACCAATGTAACGTCCCTCCTGAAGACTGTGAAGGCTGTGGAGGACGAGGCCACCAAGGGAACCAGAGCTCTGGAGGCCACTATCGAACACATCAAACAGGAGCTGGCTGTAAGCGTCCACACACCTCAGGATTTAGTTTAAACGACCATAAATAAATAAATAAGTAAATAAATGACTGACTGAGGACTGCCCTCAGGTCTTCTGCTGCTCCGACCCGCCTCCTAAGACGACTACGCCGGAGGAGTTCATCCGGATGACCAAAGGAATCACCATGGCAACGGCGAAAGCAGTGGCTGCTGGGAACTCCTGTCGTCAAGAAGACATCATCGCCACGGCCAACCTGAGCAGGCGGGCCATAGCCGACATGCTGCGTTCCTGCAAGGTAAGATGGAGGATCATCAGAACCTGAACCAGAACCCAAACCAGAACCTGAACCATGGAGGATACACGAACTGCACATTTTAGTCTAATCTAGAAAAAAACTAGAGAAGCTCTTACTGTCATTATCATTACTCTATATATCTGGACCAGTTTTCATCCAGTCTGGGTTACCGTGGAGGCTGACTCCCTCTGTCCCTCTCTCTCTATCTCGCCCTCTTTCTCTCTTGCCCTCCCTCTCTCTCTTGCCATCTCTCTCTCCCTCTTTCTTGCTTTCTCTGTTTTCCCCTTTCTCTCTTGCCCTCTACCCCCCCCCTCCTCTCTGTTTCTGTCCCAGGTTTGTTCCCCCTAAAGGCAGTTGTTTCCTCCCTGTGTCTCCTAGTGCTGCTCTTGGTGGAACTGTAGTTCTTCTGTAAATAACTCAGAGTGTGAGCTGCTCTGGTTAAAGCTGGGAGATTCCTTCTGTTGTTATTGGGGTCTGGAGCTACAGAGATAAAACTGAATTTAACTGAGAGGCTCAACGCTGTGCAGTCGCTGACCTGTGAACATGTCGGGTTTAGAGTGGGGGGGGTGGGTTCAGAGGAAACCCACTATCAGACGGGCTCTCTGGGTTAGGGTTAGGGGAGTCCTCTCATCTCCACCCTACAACCCTTGTTCCTGAGCTGACTTTTTCAGAGCTTTTCATGCTGATTTCTCTGTGTGATTTGTAGGAAGCTGCTTACCACCCAGAGGTGGGCAAAGAGGTCCAGATGCGAGCTCTGCGCTATGGCAACGAGTGTGCGTCCGGATACCTGGGGCTGCTGGAGCATGTGCTGGTGGTAAGACCACATATCTGTTTAAGGGTGCACTGCTGAGGCTTACTGAGAATAGTACAGTCACAGAATCCGGAACAGAGGTGATGGAGCAATGCTGTGTTCTTTCAAAAACAAATCCTCTTATAGTCCCACATCACTGGTCTTTTAACAGGTAAAAAAAAGTTCAACCTGTTTTCCTGTACATTTTCATGTAAATTAAATATGTTCAAATCCACTCCAGTGCTCCTGTATAAAGCTCAAATTTGATAATCTATATATATATATATTTAGTATATTTATACTGACCTTTTGGATATAAGCATTATCCACTTATTGTTTGATGTAAGTTTCCAGCTGTTAAGCATTCATGGACTATATTCAAATCTTTATAATATTCAGTTTATTACTGATTATTGGAATTCAAATGTTTGTTTTGCAAATCTTTCTTTCCCCTTCTCGTTCACCCACACTTTCAGGGTTTTTACTGTTTTTTTACTGTTTATCCCGGTGTTTGACAAGTGATTTGTAAATGTGCACTTGACCACATACTGGATGGAGACACTTTTTTATACACTCAATCCATAAAATATGCAAAAAAGGTGCAAACAGGTAAATGTCCAAAGTTACCCTTTCTCAAAAAAGTGAAACATGTGTTAGATAATCCTAATCCACTTTTAAAAGAAGTAGCGCCAGGCTGCTTTGCCCCCCAGTTCAAAGTGCTAAGCTCCAACCTTGACCCCCCACTGCCCACATTTCTGGGTTGATGTTGGCATGCTGACCTCTCCACCTGTTTGATGAACTCTATTTCTTTTTTTCCCCAACGGTTTGCCAATATTGGCTTAAACTTTTGGCTCACTGATGTTGCTGCTAGCCGGTGAGTACCTCTGACTCTCACACCTGTCCAGCAGAACGCATACAGCTTCTCAGAGATAAGAGATGGAGGTCCTGGGACTTGGCTGACCAATGTTGGGAGTCTGAATGTCTGAGTTCTGACCATTTGAGGGGGGCAGAGATCATGATATGTGTCTATATGGGTCCACATGGGTGTGTTTGTAGATACTAGAATTAATGGATGTTGGTCATTCTGAAGTTAAAATTTCATAGAAATAATTCTATCAATATTTCTTAGATGTAAAGTAATATTCTGGGAGAAAGTTACCATATTTTCCACACTATAAGGCACCTAAAAGCCTTCAATTTGCTCTAAAACCGACAGTGCGCCTTATAGTCCGGTGCGCCAGATTTATGGATCAGGATTGAGTCGTAACAGGTCTCAGGGAGTAGCCCGTAGAAGAAGAAGTAGAAGTAGAAGAAGTAGCACAAGGCGAAGAGGCGCCACCTTCTGGGAATCCTCAGTACTGCACCATGTCCATATCTGTTAGTCCCCGTTTTAAAAGTGGACAAAGTGAGAGAAGGAGGCTGTTCAAAAATGTGGACATTAAAGGGAAACGTTGAATCGTTTCCTAACTACGACAACAGCTGGTTCAAATAGTTCTGAAGAAAAGCTGCTCAGCTTTATGCTAGCTGCTATATGTTGTGATGCTAACGTGTGATTTACCGTAACGTATCAGACTGTTTCTGTTATTTACTGAATGGAGAAAAAGTTCCCTCCACTACTGATAAAAATGCTGCTCTACCTGTTAAACATTGTTGTTTAATTTGGTTTGTGTCTGTTAATAAAGTCTGACTGATTATCTGACTGTTAGCTGAGCTTCCCTTTAGCGTAGCTGCTTCTGGATGCTAACGCAGCCCCAGCCTCTACTGGAGCTTCTGCTCTATCAGCCTCATAACGCGGTGCGCCTTATAGTGTGGAAAATAGGTAATCGGTTTTTGGAGGGGAACTGATTTTGTAGTCAGCCTGATGTTAGGTTAGAAAAGAACAAGAAACCCAGCTGCCTGCTGCCAAACCACCGTTAACCTGCACACTGGTTTCTCTCTTGTCAGCGTGGGGCCATTAAATAAAAACGTTGTAAAGCAAACCTTTAATCTTTTAACACTGGTCATAAAACTTGTGAATGTTGCTGTGTGACAGAAAAGCCGTCCTGAGGTACTGACGGCCTCTCAGCACGTGGTCTGAGCATCAGCCTGTGGTGTGCAGTATGGGGATGTGTTTTTGTTTGCCTGTTGGATTAGTGTGACCCTGCATGCGTTCCAGTGCTGTAACATCTATCTTCTCATGACATCACATCAGAATAAACTTGAGCCGGGTATGGGCTGAGCCCTGTTAATTCCCTGCACCTGTCACACACCGTTCCAACCTGAATATTTCCAGTCTGTCGAGGACAGTCTAAGGACACCAGCCCAGACCGGCCATATCCGAGCACCTCCCAGTTCGACAGAGCTTTTATTTCCCCGTGAAGTGATTTGTGACCAGAACACGCGTTGGCAGATGTCAGCTGAAGGTTTATATATTTAAGCGTGATTCCTTAGTTACAGTGTTGATTTAAACCCCATTCCTCAGAACAGGTGTGGCCGCATGAGGCAATGAAGCTGTCCCTACAGAAATCAATACGGGCTCTAAGCCCGTGCAGATAGATGCACATTTCACCATACGGGCACTTAGGAATTGGGATTGGATACCACTCAAATGTCAAGGGGGAAAAAAAGGAGGGGTGACAGCCAAATCACAAGCAAAGTGTCTGATTTACAGTGTATTAATTTGCAACTTAAACAGCATATCGATCATTTCTTGGCAGATTTATGGTCCCATGCCCAGCTCGTCCAGACTTTAAGTACCTAAGCTTCAACAGCTCTCATCAGCGACCTCTGAACTCAAAATAGACTGAACAAACTTTAGGATAAAATGATAAATATCATGGTTCTGTGAAGTCTGAAGCTTCGTTTCTCTAGTCGGCAGCAGCAGTGAGTCTCACACTTTCACGGGGATATGTAGGTGATATTTAAAATGCCTCATCTGGCTCCAGATGAGATTGCTCTCACCCTTTAGATATCAGAATTTGAAACTTTGAAGATTTTTCTAGAGGAGTCGCTTACTTCTATTCACATCTCTGTCGTCGGGAGGCTTTGAGACTTGATGATATGGCTAAAGATAGTGCCCGGCACATGTCCCTGAGCCAGTCAGGACAGCAAGCATGCATTAATCTGATCACATGTTTCACATTTCACACCCAAAAGCTTTTTCAGAATTCAAGTTTTTCTAAATTGATGATTCAAAGTTGAAAGTCGATCGATTATTTAATTGGTTGTAGGAATTTAAACCAAAGGAAGACAGAAAGTTTTAAAGAACGGGGACCAACTCAGCAGGGTGTACCCTTCACAGAATTAGAACATCCATCAGCCTGACATGTCCCAGACTCATTTGTCAGCTGATTTTAGTTTTAGTTTTCTCATCTGTGTCCTGACATTATTATAAATCATTTCATGTACCAAAATTAATAACTGTTCACATGGAAATTCATCAAAAGAGGACCAAGAAAATGTATTATTATTTAAGTTTTTTATTTAATTGAATGTGTTCAAACCCTCTTTTCCTATAGGAAACACAATATTTTTCAAATGTAACACGTTTTCTTTTTTCTTTGGACGTGAACGTGGTGTCTGGCTTCATTCTGCTGACAGAGAAAAGCCCAAAGATTTTTTTAAGTCAGAGAGTCGCGTCCGGGTTTACAGGAAATAAGCTTTGCCTCACAATGCTCTTTTTGGAGTGGCTTCAGTTTGTCCACATTTGTGAAATAGAAACTTTTCACATGATAAGGATAACTCACTGTCTTGGCTTTAAACATGGATGTGACTAACTCAAGTCAATTTGCAAGAATAACAAGAACGATATGAAAAGAACTTTGCTGCATGTAAGATGAAAAACCCTCTCTAGAGAAGCTGACTTGGTTTCTTTGTGCTTAATCCACAGATAATCCAGAAGCCCACTCATGATCTGAAGCAGCAGCTGGCCAGCTACTCCAAGCGGGTGGCCGGTTGTGTCACTGAGCTCATCCAAGCTGCTGAGGCTATGAAAGGTATCCCAGCCTTGTGACCAGTAAAAGCAAAAAGCCTTGTAGCAGGACCAGCCAGGTCTTTTCTTTTCTCTAAGCCAAGCATCTCCACTTGGCTCTTATTCTCGAGAACATTGTTCCAGAAGGCAAGGCAGGTTTATCTTACAGCACATTTCGTGTAGAAGACCATTCAAAATGCTTCATGCTGAATTTAAAAGCAGAAAAACAAGAAAAAGAATACAAATTAAATATAAAAAGTGAAGGGTGCAGATAAAATCCATCCAGCTTAAGTTAAACAGATGTTTTCATCTGGATTTAAACATCCAGAGTTGGGTTCTGTCTCACATCTTCAGGAAGACTGATCCAGGTTTTAGGAGCCTGGAGCTGAAATGAAGCTTCAGCTGGTTTAGTTCTGACTCTGGGCCCCAGCAGGAGACCAGAACCTGGTTTAGTTCTGTGTCTGGGCCCCAGCAGGAGACCAGAACCTGGTTCTCAGAATCCAGCTGGTTCAGAAGTCCCCCCTTTACAGAGAAGAGGCCAAACAGGTCATTGTTTTTCTAATTCTACCTCATGACCTTTAGCTTTTTAACCTGCTAACTAAGGCCTGCAGAAGCTGTTTAGGGGTTTGCTGGTTTCTCTGAGCATTTCTAATCTCATCCACTTCTGGGAAGATTGGTTACTGAACAAAACTCAATTCTCTAAACCAGCAAACGGAGCAAACGTTTGCTTTAATAGAGCTGCTCACAGTGCTCTTTTAATCCCTGTGAAAGGGGGAGGGGGGGCTTCTGCCTTTAGTCTGTTTTTGTTCTGTGAATAAAGAAACAATTTACCTTGTTTTATGTTCAGATAAAGGACAGACCTTAGGCTTGCCCTGACATCTGGGGCCATATTGGACTAAAGGGCACCTCTTAGGCCTCCTCTGGGAAATGTACATAGTTCAAAGGTGCAGCCGACCCAATGTTCTTTTTGTGTGCTTTAGGCACAGAGTGGGTGGACCCAGAGGATCCTACTGTCATCGCAGAGAACGAACTACTGGGAGCAGCGGCAGCTATTGAAGCAGCTGCCAAGAAACTGGAGCAGCTGAGGCCGAGGACCAAACCCAAGGTCAGGGACTTTTACAGAGCAGAGGCATTCACACTGGGTTTGTTAACCTCGCCACAGGGTTACACTCAGTGTGTGCGTTACACTTCCTGAGTGCACTCAGCTTGTCACGCCATGAATGATGGCTGGCCCACCGACCCTACCCCACTGACATTCAGAGATGTGTAAAGTACTAGAGTAGAGGAGGGGAGTAGAAGTACAAGTACTATATAAAAAACTGACTTGAGTAAAGGTTGAAGTATTCAACAATTCAGCCAGACTAAAAGTATTAAATTAATCAAAAATATGTAGTGGACAAAGTAAAAGTAGGGAAAAAAATATACTCCAATAAAGTACAGATACTGCATTTTGGTACTTAAGTACAGTACTTAAGTAGTTGTACTTCGTTACTGAACATCTCTGCTGACATTTAATGTTCTCCTTCTTGGTCCATCCGAACAGCAGCTTTCAGACGATAAACCAGCTGGTTGGCCTTTGATTTCGAGTCCTTTAAGCTCACCACAGCCCAAAACCAGTGTGTGACCAGTGTGTTAACGTGTGTTCCTGTCGGTCTCCCTCTCCTCTGAACAGGAGGCAGATGAGAGCCTGAACTTTGAGGAGCAGATTCTGGAAGCAGCCAAGTCCATTGCAGCGGCCACCAGTGCTCTGGTGAAAGCGGCCTCGGCGGCCCAGAGGGAGCTGGTGGCTCAGGGGAAGGTATGTCAGCGCTGACACGTGTTGATGTTAACAGTGAGTCTGGCCCTGCTGCCGGCCACAGGATTTAGTTTACACACACTCAACATGATCTATGAGACTGTAAAGTGTAAACCGAAGCCCAAAACAGGAAAGCATCCAAATACCTCCAGCAAAGTGTGACGTTTACGTGTATTACATTTATATTAAAACAACCTCCGCTGAGTTTACAGCCTGTTTACTTTACTTCAATGTATTCCCTTCATTTTAGGAAGGAACCAAACAGAATTTGCCCCCACTAGATCATATATATATGTTAGTTGGTTTTTAAAGACACGCACATTTTTTTTTAGATAACTTTAACAAAAATCATCCTAAATCCAGTTTGACTTGAACCTGTGCTGTGTTCCTAGGTGGGAGCGATCCCAGCCAATGCGGTGGACGATGGCCAGTGGTCTCAGGGACTCATTTCAGCTGTAAGTCTGTTTCCTCCAGCTTGAA